CGGGGCTCTCCCGTTCCCTCCCGGGGGTCCCATCCCCGGGGCTCTCCCGTTCCCTCCCGGGGGTCCCATCCCCGGGGCTCTCCCGTTCCCTCCCGTTCTATCCCCGGGGCTCTCCCGTTCCCTCCCGGGGCTCTCCCATTCCTTCCCCGGGGCTCTCCCGTTCCCTCCCGTTCCATCCCCGGGGCTCTCCCGTTCCATCCCCGGGGCTCTCCCGTTCCATCCCCGGGGCTCTCCCGTTCTCTCCCGTTCCCTCCCGTTCTATCCCCGGGGCTCTCCCGTTCCATCCCCGGGGCTCTCCCGTTTCCTCCCGTTCTCTCCCGTTCCCTCCCGGGGCTCTCCCATTCCCTCCCCGGGGCTCTCCCGTTTCCTCCCGTTCTCTCCCGTTCCATCCCCGGGGCTCTTCCGTTCTCTCCCGCTCCCTCCCCGGGGCTCTCCCGTTCCCTCCTGTTCCCTCCCGGGGCTCTCCCGTTCCATCCCCGGGGCTCTCCCGTTCTCTCCCGTTCCCTCCCGTTCTCTCCCGTTCCATCCCCGGGGCTCTCCCGTTCCCTCCCGGGGCTCTCCCGTTCCCTCCCGTTCCCTCCCGGGGCTCTCCCGTTCTCTCCCGCTCCCTCCCGCTCCCTCCCGTTCTCTCCCGTTCCCTCCCGTTCCCTCCCGTTCTCTCCCGTTCCCTCCCGTTCCCTCCCGTTCTCTCCCGTTCCCTCCCGTTCTCTCCCGCTCTCTCCCGTTCTCTCCCGTTCCCTCCCGCTCCCTCCCGCTCCCTCCCGCTCCCTCCCGGGCCCTCCCGCGCCGTCCCGGGCCGCGGCGGTGCCGGAGCGGCGGTGCCGGAGCGGCGGCGGGGCCCGGCGGAGCGGGGCGGCGGCCCGGGGCCTGCGGCGGCGGCGGGCCGGGCCCGGCGGGAGCCGCGCTAGGCCGCACATCCCCGGGCTGCCGTGGCGGCGCCGCCCGGGCAAGGCGGGAGCGGGAGCGGGAGCGGGGCTCGGCCGTACCTGGTCCGTGATGCTGAGAACCCCCATGTCGGGGCCGCCCTCAGCGCCCAGCTGCCGGCATCGGGTCCGGCCGCGGCGGCTCCGCTCGGGCGGCGGCGGGGCGGGGAAGGAGCGGCGGGGATGCGCCGCCCACCGAGCCCCGGGCGGCGGCGGCGGCGGCGGGGGCGGCCCCGGGGCGGCCGCATCGCCGGGGGTCTCCGGGCAGCGCCGGGCCCGGCCCGAGGGGCGGCGGGGCGGGGGAGAGCGGCCCGGGGGTCGGTGCCGTGACACCGGGTGTTCCCGGGGGGAATCGCACCCCGGAGGGGCTGTCGGTACCCCGGGGGTCCGGGGGTCACTGCTCTGACACCGGGTGTCCCCGGTGGGGATCACACCCCGGAGGGGCTGTCGGTAACCCCGGGGGTCGGTGCCCTGACACCGGGTGTTCCCGGTGGGGATCACATCCCGGAGGGGCTGTCGGTAACCCCGGGGGTCGGTGCCCTGACACCGGGTGTTCCCGGGGGGAAT